AGGCCAGGTTTTGCCACAAGTTCAAGAGGACAGGCCATTCTCCAGGTTTTGCCACAAGAATCCTGTGAGTTTAGGTTCCAAGTTCACCCAAGGAGTCCATGGTTGAAACTAGACTTGACCCTGGATCTCCACCAGTTTAACTATCACACCATTATATTAATATTGAAGGAACTCTATTATGTTTGTATATAATATTCCAAAAAGTCTTATTCCAGTGCAGAAATAAAGAACTATATCATCTCACAGAGAGGAAAGAAATGTAATGGAAATCTATAAATGCTATAAAGTAGCCTGGAGCCAAACTCATTAAAAGACAAGTAGGAACTGCTTGGAGCATAGGATTCAGGTTCATTTCCAAGTTCACTGTACAACATCATTTAAAATATATCAGTAAATTAAACTTCCTTCCTAATGATTTTTTTTATCAGAATAAGCTTTTTATCACTAAGATTAAGAAACAGTTCCTTTAGAACAAACTACTTTTACAATATAACCAAACCAATGTGCAATTGTGTGATGGCTTCCTAACTTGAGAAATTTTGCAAACAATAATTCTTGAACTCTTTCTATTCAAGAGTTAGAATCCCAGAATTTACTGTAGTAACAGATTTTTACTTTGGCTCCTGATAAACTTCCTGAAATGGGGCAAAATACTTTCCTTCTTGTTAATCCTATTTCTTAGCAAATATATTGTATGTAATAGTGGAAGGCACTAGCAGATTTTCCTACAGAACTTACAGAAATGTTAATTGTAATAAGCCTCATCCCATTTTATGTACTGCGAGGCTTAGCAAACCTGATGCCAAATTCTGATTTGTCCTGTTCTAGTGAACAATCCATATGCCTTTGGCTACATGAGACAGCTCCTTAGCCAGCTGGTTTGGAATGTCTCAGAAGAGTAGCAAATCATTAGTTAATTTTTTAATTGTATTTTTATACCGAGGGAATATTGCCTATGGAGATTTCTGAAGTGCCAAAATAATTTATAAGTCTTGGGTACCATGACAGAATGTCTCAAAGTCTATTCATGCATTTCCTTTTAATTGCATCTTTTATCTTTACATGCCTAAAATCCCAGTCATCTTGAACTATATTCCAGTCAAGTAACCAGTGGCACTCATATACCAAATATTTGAGGATTTTACCAAAAGAATAAAGGTACTTTTTATTTATCTACAAAAACTGAAGTTTAACTAGCAATGAATATCTATTCTGGATTTTCAGACTTACAAGAAAACACTTGAGGAGTCAGGCAAAGTGGGTGGCCTTCAGATTTTTGCCACAATAGGACATTTAAATCAAGTATGTCATTCAGATATCTAAGCCTCGAGGTTCATAATATATTTAATAAGTCTTAGAAGTTACTAAAGATGACATTTGTTGACTCTAAATGTCAAAATCTATATAGAAGTACTCTGCAGCAGAAACAATTATATATAAAAATAAAAATGAATTTTGCACACATTTTTGTCTTTCAGTTTGAAATTGCTTAATGCATATTTAATGGAAATATGGGAAACTCTGAGTGGGAAACTCTGAGTGACTCCTTTTGACAGCTGATGTAGCAACTGTTTATTGATAGATGGACTTTAAATCATGTGTATCTATTTATGTGTTAACTAAAATAGTATTTTTCCAATGTGGAAATTGTCATATGGGTCTGACAGCAAGTCCCAGCAACCCCAGCCAATAATATGCAGATAGGAGAAAGCAGATCTGAAAGACTATGGTTGAACAGTGATTCTATGCAAAATAAAATAGGGCATATTAATGTAAAAAAATATCAGCATCAGACAATAAATTTTTGAATAGATTAATTGGAGACAAAAGATCTTACTACTTTAAAGATAGACTACAAAACTTAACTATTCAAATATATTAGCAAAAATAATAAACTCCTGATTTAAAACTGGTTGGAATTCTGAAGATAAAATACTGCTTATTTCATTTCAGGATAATCAGCTAACATATTAAATATTATTTTACCCAAAGTGATTTCTCTATGTCGCAGATACCCTTTAATTAGAGCAGGGTCCCCAACCCCCAGGCTGGGGCCCACTACTGGGTCGCGACCTATTTGAAACCAGGCCACGGAAGAAACAGGCAAGAGCAGGTGCATGAAGCTCCACTTGCACAAGCGGAGGATGCTTGCACTTGCACACAAGGCTCCATTTGCGCAATTGGAACTTCACACAGGAGCACCCTCCGCTCATGCAAGTGCAGCTACGTGCATGAGCCCAAGTTCACTCCACTCAAGTACCTTCCGCTCGTGCAAGTGGAGCTTTGGGCATGAGTGCAAGCACCCTCCAGTTGCGCATAAAGCTCCATTTGCACAAGTGGAGGGTGTGTGTGTGCACCGTGCGCAAAAATGAAGCTATGCGCCAAGCCCGCCACCAAGCTGGAAAGGTTGTAGACCGTTGGATTAGAGTTAATGGTTAGTGTTGATATGATCACACTTTGATGAACATGATTTAATAACATATGCTTTTGCTGATGTTGTTTTGTGGCAGAAATATGGACTTTTAGACAAAAAATTGGTTTCCTGTTGTTGTTTTTTGAAAGACCTAAAAAATGGAAATGTTATCAAGAATGCAATTTTGGCTGCAGCTGAATTTTCCTAATCTAATTCACAGTTCTAATTCAGTTCTGTTTTTCATACGAAATGAGGAAAGGAGTAAAAGAAAACTGCTCTTCTGTACAATAGCCAGAGGAAACAAGAAAGCAGCTATAGATGAAAAACTGCTGCTTCAAGGAGGGAAAAAGCCTCCCAAAATTCCTTTCTGTGATATTCTGGCCTTCTGAGCTGGATCCTGGAATTGGATCAGCACCCCATCTCCGTTTTAAAATAGTGATGCCATACATCTGCTCATCTTCTTCAGTTCCAGAATAGATCAGCAATAGCTACACTGAGCTTTGGGAAGTTATTGTATATATTGTATAGATACATGAAATATAGAATGATTCTACATTTAAAAAGTCCAGATCAATTTATATAAAAACTAGTAGAATATTTTTAAAAGCTGCATTAAATCTCAAAAATTAAACACAAAAACATTAGATCATAGATCTTGGAGCCTAGAGGTTGTGCAGGACATTGCTTAATGCCTTTAGAACTCCAAGAAAGAATAAAACAGGATTAGCAAAAAATCCAAAATCAAGTTATTTTGCTTCTGCTGTTGAAAATAAATTGGAATCTGGCATATTGTCTTAATGTTCAAAAAGGTTGATATGGCAATAGATGTGATAGAAGCCAAGATATTTTGGGTTTTAGATCAGTATAATTCCCATCAGATCTGATACAAATACTGCCTTGGCAACCACAGGACTTACCTTCCTACCAGACATCATTCGTTGTTAGATTTTTTTTATTTTTAAAAAAGAAATGGAAGCTGCAAAGCAAATTGCATCATGGTTATTTACAACATAAATAAACCTTTGGGCCTTACATAAACCCATGGGCATTTTTAGAAAATGAAATTAGTGAGTGGCCAGGGTCCAGAACTGTTTGAAAGTATGCCCATATCCCTGGAATAAAAGATAGTATTACTCTAGAATAGAATAGAATACTTTATAAGTTTTAAAGAGTGAAGAACAAACTCATTGGAATTTTGTGACAATTTTTGTGACATGTTCTTAAAATCCCAAATATGCCTCCACCTTAAAAAGATTACCTAAATTTTTATTCTGCTATTGAGTTTTTACTAAATAGGCCTTCTATTTAATATTCTGCTAATGTGGAGAATATATTATACATGTGTTTCTAAAGAATTTTTTTTATAATTCATTTTCTATGATACATTTTTCTGTAGCTTTACCCAGCTATGCCATTCTGAATTTACCCAAATGTAAGCTAACATATCTTTAATGAAGATAGCAGTTTTAATGAAATGACCCGCATTTTATATTCTGCTCAAAAATCTAAACTGACACTCTTGGCTCCATGTTGTGATGCAAGGAAGCTTTTTTGCATCCTTGTTCCTTCAAAATGACTTTGTATCTTGGAGATGTATGTATGTATGTATATTTTAATGCAGTTTGCTGCCAATTTAATACTAATTTTCAGAATACGTTAAGATGAGAACTGAGATAAGCACATTTCAGGGGCACTTTAATCAAGCTATGTAAGTGTCTAGAACTATATTATATTTATATTTTGTCTTACAGAAAGCCTATGCATTTGCTCATCTATCAATTTTTCTGTTTATAGAAGAATAAATGTTAAATTTCAGTTTGTATTATGTATGAAGAGGAAAAGACTTCTAACTATTATTAGCAGTTTGTGGGCTGGATGGCAGGCTAGCATGTTTCAGGTGTATTCCTATTTTTTTCTCACATAGTATTAATTCTTTGTATTAAATTGTATATGTGGCACGAATTTGAAAGAGAATTTAGAAAATAAAGGTTGATTTTAATTCCAATTGCAAATGCAAACTACTTCTCTTCCCCTAACTTTTAAGCATGAAGATCAAGACAAAGCTCAGTCAATTTAAACTAAATTTGTACTAAAATGAATGGTATATATTGAACACATTATGTATATTCACCAATATATTCTCTCTTGAACCATTTGTTTCAGTGTGCAATCCTTTATTACATGGTCAAAGTAGATTGGCTCCAGGATATTCCTTCTTCAAAATATCAAAATGAAACTGCAGAAGTATCAAAACATGAGACAGAGTTCTAAATATGCTTTCCTTCCCTTTCTAAGCTCTGTTCTATTGAGACCTTACTTTCTCAGCAGCCAGAACACCCTCAAGTTACAGTTAATGAAAGGTTTTTCTTCTGTTTTTTGTACTGTTTATTACTCTGTTTTCTCTAGAAGCATCATAACTCTATTTACAAATGTCACAACACTATTAATTGATTTTCAACTATGATCCTTTTGCAAGATGTTTCTGATATAATTCAAGTATGTTTGAGTATAGCAAGTCCAGTTAGACATTTTATCAGTTAATTACATTAATTTCTACTTCTGACACCATCTTTAATTAATATGACAGAATTCTCTGACAAGAAGTTGTCCACTTGCTAATGATTCTCCAGCTCGGAGTGGTGCCCGATTCCACAGCTCCTACGACAAAAGATATGTCATCAAAACTATAACAAGTGAAGATGTAGCAGAAATGCACAATATCCTGAAGAAATACCACCAGGTAATTCATTATTTACTTTGAGAATGAGATGGTTGTAATTACACTTCATTGATTAATTTTTTGTATAATGCCTTAGGAAATGGGCATTATATCTCAGGGGCTTGTGAGTACCAAGTGCACACACACATGTACAGCTTCCTTTGTGTGAGTGGCTCACTCACATGTGCACTTTCCAATTGCACAAATAGAGCTTTGTGCGTGAATGGAGGGTGCTTGTGTTAACACGCAAAGCTCCATTCACATGAATGGAGGGTGTTTGAGTGAAGTGTGCTTGTGCTCACTCACGAAGCTCCACTCATGCAAGCGCCCTCCGCTCGTGCTAGTGGAGCTTCACGCACATGCGCTTTCCCATTTTTCCTGTGGCCTGGTTTTGAATAGGTCACGACTCTGTAGTGGGACACAGCCTACAGGTAAGGGAATCCCTGGTCTAGATAATAAAATTGCATGTTTATTTTAATTTATCCTATGATGGGACCAAAATGATTCAGATTTCTACAACCTATGAATAATAGCACCTTTAAACATCTTCATAGTTGATAGTTTACCTTTTTGCAAAAAAGGTTTTCACAAATTAGAAAATGATCTAATTAAACTCTACGGTGATTAATATGAATGTAAAAAAACTGCTCCGTGCCCTTGCTGTGGAATTCTCTTTTAAAACTGAAAGAATCTGAACCAGTTCTATTTTTAAGTGTTATTCTCACACAAAACATTACAGGTCAAGATTTTATACTGTGGGAATAAAAATGCAGATATGTATTTCAGTTTTATATAGTTTGATTTTTATTCATTCTCTGTGAACTTGCAAAATTCTAAAATATACTTGAACTCTTGAATCCAAATAAAAAAATCGTTTATTTTGATAAAACTATATGCTGGATGCTCTGTCCAAATTAAATTGGAATTTATTGAAGTGATCAAAATCCCGGAGAACAAAGTGAACAAATTCAATGGAGACAATTATTGTTATAAAATAAAGATTTGATCAGTAGTGACAGTGGCTGGACAATAGATAAGTTATTGTACTGTATCTAATAGTGATACAATAATATAAAAACAATGATGTTATAAATTATAAGCTAATGCAGATAAAGCCTGGCTTTCTCATTGCAAAGAAGTTTCAAATGGCTTTTTGTACAATGCCAGATGATAGTGATGGATTTCACTGCTATGGAACGATCTTGGGATATTGACGACTTTTTGTGAAAACAGCCTTTTTGTCTAGCAGCAATAGCACTGTAGTGGTGTTCCCACAGCTAATAATATTAACTCAGCTAATCTTACTAGAATGCCTTATGTTTTTTTACTCTTTCACAGTGAACATAATAGGGATACTTTGACTAAAGTAATCAATTTGGCAAAAATCACTCATTTTCAGCAGCAACATCAAGTTTACTTTTCTTTAGACCACAGAATCCTTCACTAGTGATAGTAATGTATGCTATTTTCTGAATAATGCAATAGATTACATGTTTTCTAAGTAAAATAATTGCAATCATATCTAAAGAAATCAAAATTAATCAGAAGATGACACAACTGAGAGATGTGTATCAATACAGAATAAATAAATAAGTCAAGCTTCCATAATAAGCTAATAAGGTTTTTCCCACAAAAACATATTAAAAATAAGAAATGGCCCCCAGAATTGTATTATAATTGATATATTTGATAAGATGGACTAAAGTAAGCAGTATTCTAACTATGCTTGCAACTTAACTTTATTTTAATTAGCCCCAATTCCAGTTGATTCTCAGTTCATATTTTAATAAATCTCATTTTATGTTCCCTGTTCAAAGTATTGATGAAATAGTACACAATGGTTTCACAGTTGAGAATTTAATATTTCAATAAGTTCAAGCTGTAGCCTTGGTTAGAAAAAAGGCTGGATATTAAAAATGTGAAATATATTCTAAACTCAAAAATGTCTGATTTAAAAGTTGTTATATTAATTTAATTCTAAAGTTCAGTTGTCTTAGATTCTTACTGCTGAATAAGAATATAAAATGGAAGCTTCATTTGGGTATAATAGAAAGAATTATTCTCTACTTAATCATTGCTACTACATGCAATACAAGAAGGAAGAATTGGTGTTTAAATGGTCTTGCCTACTAGTCTTAGTCTTATGAGATAATCAGGAGAGCAAATTAATCTACTGAATTGAAATGTGCATATGTATTTTATTACTAATAGATATATATGTTTATAATGCATTTACAAACCACAGAAAATATCATTAGGCCAAGTTTATTTAGCGTCATTGTCATGCTTATGAAATAAAAGCCACAATTTATAAGCAGCAATGTAGTTTTATGTAAGCTCTAAGATGTGGTGGAATCACGGACTAAAGGAGACAGGGCAGTAAAAAGTCATCCCAGCATGGAGTTACTCTGTGGGAAGAAATGAAAGAGGCCAGATTATTGATGCCTTTATCTGCCACTTCCAAAGGGAATGCAATCAGCCAGGTCAGATTCTTGTAAATAGGTGATCAACAATAAATAAACTGCTTTGGTCAATGCAATGGTTCCTTGCACCTGACAAACCTTACTTAAAATATTACATCAAACATTATGTTTGAATACTTTAATTTTTTCTACAGTATACCTTCTGAAGCTTATTCCTCCTTAGGCTTGCATTCATATTTTGTGATTTTCCTGAATTGAAATCAGTGATTCAAAATTGTGATTACCTACATTGCATTTACAATGGATTGTTAAAAAAAAAAAATCAATTCACATAATGTCCACATTTTATACTTAATGCAGAACTTATAAAATTTTTAAAACTACGTGTTTTTCTTCTGCATTTTAGTAATTTTATTTTAAAAATATGTTCTCCTGAAAAATAAAATATTAGCTTTATAAATTTTTGGGAAACTAATCCTGAATAGCAGAAAAACAAATAATATCAACTATTCATATATACTATGTACATTTCTATAACACTACATTTGCTGCACAGCTAAAAGTATGCATTTTTATTTTATATAAATGTATATGAAAAGTTGAGGTTCCTATTGAGTATCCAAAATAACAGGATAATCCTTGTAGCATCAGGATGTTCCCATTCTCCAGCAATGCCATGAGGTAAGGTGCTGTGCTGTTGATGAACACAACGGAGGATGCTTTGCAGCTAGTATCTTGTTGGTTTTGATACTCTTTCTTTCCATTATAAGCAAAAAAAGATATCTTAAACATATTTAGATTAAATCTTTAGGCGCAGGGATAGTCAACCTTGGCTCTTTACGAGTCATAAAAGAGCCAAGGTTGACTACCCCTGCTTTAGGGCATCACCTATCTTTTTTTAGGGTGAAAATACAACCAAGTAGTTTTTCATCCATTGTGTACATTGAGAGCCAATGTTATACAGTACTTAAGGTGTTGAACTAGAACCTGAGAAGATTTGGGGAAACTCAGTCTTAGCTCAACTTTCCTTACAAGGATGTGGTTGTGTGAAAAATTGAAAAAAGAAGTATAGCTTGCCTTGAGCTTTTGGAAGAGGAGATACAAATATATTAAATTAATACAATAAATGCTGTCTTTCCTAGTTGAACAGGGAATTATATCTATTTTGATAGCTCCCATGTATCTGCAGGTGGCAGGCTCCAAGGAGGACCACCTTTTTTGTGAGGTGGTGAAACCTTAGAAGTGAAAGTAAATAGTTTCTACCTGCTGCAAGTGAGCTGTTTAATCATGAGGTGCAGATTTGAAGTGAGAACTAGTAGAGAAAGGGATTGGTAGGTTATATGGATTTCAAATGTTTATGGAAATCAAACACCTTCAAATAAAATTGAAGATTTTGCATGTTCACCTGTCACAGTCTTATTGAACGTTTAATTCTATGCAATCTTCATTGTGCAAACGCCATCCGTAATTAAAGAATGTAAACACTTCAAAAACTCTTATTCTAACTATTTCTTGATAATGCAATTTTTCATAGTGATTTACTTGCCTGGTTTGATATCTATATAAGAAAAATTCTAAAATATGTAATAACATCTAATATTTCTTTTTTAAAAAAATATCGTAGTTTATAGTGGAATGCCATGGCAACACACTACTTCCACAATTTTTGGGCATGTACCGGCTTACTGTTGATGGAATTGAAGTGTACATGATTGTTACAAGAAATGTATTCAGCCATCGTTTATCCGTTTATAGAAAATATGATTTAAAGGTGAGTACTTTTTTTCCTATGGGAATTACAATAATTCTGTTAATAGTTCTGCTAATAGGGAAGGAAGGAAGGAAGGAAGGAAGGAAGGAAGGAAGGAAGGAAGGAAGGAAGGAAGGAAGGAAGGAAGGAAGGAAGGAAAATTCTATCAGATACTTTAAAGCTAGTAATTACAGTGCATTAAAATATTTCAACAAATGATCTTTTTTGAGCTGTGTTTATTAAAATAACATTTGCGGCTTATCCAACAAAACCTTTTATGAAAATAACATAATGTGTGTTGTAAAGTAAGTGACTAGACAGAGAAATGCTAGCTGAAGTAGCTAAGTGCTAATGCTTTCAGTCAAAGCCATTTGAGAGGTTAAAAAAACGAGCTGAAGAGGCTATTTCATCCTTAATGCACTTTGTAGGCAGCTGTGTTTTGCACACAGATATTTTTTGGTAATTAATAGAAGTACTACAATAGATTAAAGCAGTACACGGCGTCATTTAATATTTAAAACTATTTTAGCAAATGACTAAAAAGCCATACTAAGCCATTTCTATTTTTGTTACCTCTATCAAATATATTTTAAATGGCTGCCCTATATCCACTTACCTGGAAGTAAGCCTCATTGATCTTATTCCTCTGAGTGGATAAAGAGGTGATTATGCAGTTGTTGTTTGAAGTCTGATTGGTTCAAATTAGTTTACCATATCCTGCGGATAAGGGTTAGAAAGTGAAGTGGCTCAGAAAAAAATCTTACACATGAGATTGATTTACTTCTGTCAAATAGCCTTCACAGTACTTTATTTTAAACAGTTGATGCATCCTGTATTAGCAAAAGAAAATATTCTGTTTTCCCATATAACTTTTTAAAATATTCTCAGATTTTCTAAGAGAAACTGATATAATTGCAGACTGTAGAATGTGATAGCTCAGTCTCTAGAATGTAAATTATCAATGTTTTATTGATCTACATTCTTTTAAAAAATATAATAATTAACAATTTACCTGGGTGTTCGAAAAGTCAATATCAAGTTTATTTCACATCCTTGGATTCCACTTCAGTAGAATTTCTATCCCTCCATCAACCAAGAATGAATAATAATTTTAAGAAACATAAATATCTTATCTCCTGGACCTATAAATGTTATTCAGGTGGAAATCAAAGCCATTTCATTATATGTGTCCTAGAATTTACTAGTGAAAGTTTGCTATAAACTTCTCAGAGGAAAGCTAGGATACATGAGTAGTCCTTATCCTATAACCATTTATTCAGCAACCATTCAAAGTTACAATGGCACTGAACAAATGTTGGTTATGATCATTCCTCAAAAGTTCCTGCTGTCCCAGCACCTCCATGGTCACATGGCTAGGTGCTTGACAAATGGTTTGCACTTACACTTACAACCAATTGTAGTCCCTGCGATCATATGATCACCCTTTGTAACTCTCCCTATTACTTCCCCAGCATGTCAGTGGGGAAGCCAGCGGGGAAGGGGTAAGTGTCCCCCACCCACATACCCTTCTCCAGCCCTTTCCCACTCATGCCAGGCCAACTACTTTCACACCATTGCTTGCTTTCTCCAACCTGTGCCACCTCAGTCCCCACACTCTCTTCCTCCCTGCATCTTTTATGCAAACCCTCATGCTCTTGATTATTTGACCACAGTCGGCCCTCGATGAATGACTGTTCATTCAGAAACTCTTTGAAGTTATGGCTGCACTGAACAAATGATACTTAGGTCCATCTCCAAAGTTACATCCATTGCAGATCACATAATCAAAATTCAGGTGCTTGGTAGTTAGTTGGCACTTAGGACTAGTGGAGCACCATCTTCCAATCTCCCATCTCCACCCTTTTGGCTGCTCTGGCAGTAGTGGGACTGAAGTAGAAGCCTGGGCCTTTAGCAGTATGAGCTGACAGCTGGCACCTTGGTCTTCCACTTCAGCCCTGGCACCGCCAGGAGTGCCACCATCACTGAGGAGTGTTCTCTTTCGATCCCCATGGGACTGAGCCATGGCCAGCCATAGTACAAAGCCTCTGCCACACCCATCTTCTTTCATCATCTTCCTCACACTGCTGACAAGGCACACCCAGTCTGCCCAAGGCAAGACAATGGTTGAGCGCACTAGCCCTTCTTCCCAAAGACAGAGTATGCCATTCTCCAATGTGCCTCAAGGTTCTTTGGAAGGGCTTGACATCATGCTTTACGACTGCATCACTTAGCAGTGGAAGTTCTCAACCCAATTGCTGTCATTAACTAAGGACTACCTGTACTACAAAAATGCTAACGGGAAAATGGCAGTTTATCTTCTGAATTTTATTATGATGCTACTTGTGACAATATTAAATGAGAACTAGTTGGCCCCCAGAAGTTTTTGCCACTCTACATTTGCTTTTGGTAGCTGCTATAAGAATAAAATATAATACTATAACTTTTGGTAAATGTGTTATTTTAATTTTCACTGTTATAATTCTTTATTTTTAATTAGCATAAAATATTAAATTTCACTATCCTCTAAACATATCAATATTTTAAAGTGTTTGATACATATTTGACTAGTTAATTAATCTCTAACATTTTGGTTTCATTTTATAATAAAATACATATATATTTTTAATACACACTATATACCATTTTGAAATTCAGTTACAGTTCATAGTTATCCAGTGGGATAGTTGGCGGGTAAATACATGCTTACACAGTGCACACGGCTGTGCACACATTGTAAAACAAGGTGACAACTGCTTTATTAATACCAATACTTTAAATTCCCTCCAGAGGTATAAGGAAAATCATTAAAACTCTCATGTTTGAACAGACTGAAATTTAAGAGGGATCTACAGAAGCAGATTAATGCATGTAATAGTTTATAATAATTATGTGTGACTTTTACCAGAGCATTGTTAACCAGGAGACACTTCCTCCTCTGTTGAGGAATGGTTATGGCTGACATGCTAGTAGCTAATGGACTCCAGATGCTTAGAATTAATAGAAGAAAATAGTAATAGGTCCAGGAAAATCCAAATCTCCATAAAGAGAATTTTATTTTGTTATTATATATGTTAATGCAGTCTGTTTGAATTTTATATTTGTTCATAATACAATATAGTAAGTTTGAGGAATTAGAATGTGTTCTAGTAGACTGATGGGAAAAACATTTCTATAAGTGTTCAGTATTGTTCTAGTGACAAAATGTGCTGTGTTTTTCTTCCAGGGCTCAACAGTAGCAAGAGAAGCTAGTGACAAAGAAAAGGTGTGGCAACGTTATATTTATATACTTAGTCATCTGCCTTCAAGTTGTAAGAAAGGGAAAATTTATGTTAGTTGTGGAGTATTATTCTTCGCAACCTTCTTAGGTGCAATTCTACATCTACTTAACCAGCATAAGACACATTGATCTCAAATTAAAACCAAACCCATGTGAGGCTTCACTTCTTTTTTTTTTTTAAATATGTTTTCTTGATTTTTTAACATAATCACCTTAGTATTTGGTAAACAGCGTGTTGTCTGGGTTAGTATTTAAAAAACAATCAATAACAATTAATTTCTATAATTCTATAGTCCATATAATGGCTTTGCTTGATTTTCTCTTCCAATAATATTCTCTTTTGCCAACCTTAAATTAATGGCAGTTCTTATTATTTGAATAAATTATAATTAAATATAGACATTTTTCTCACGTTTCTGTAAATAATAACCACATCAACATAAAGCTGCTTTTTTAATTTCCTCATCATAGATCCTGTTTACAGAATTCTTATTTAAATTTGTTTTCCCCACAGTATTCAAAGCATTCTTACTGGTTAAGATTTTCTCAAAACTAGTTATACTTAAGTATTTAAGTCTTTTTTCTCATACAAGCCATCCCAACACTTTTACATTTATAATATCTTAAAAAAAGAAAAAAACCAGAAAACATTTCTTTTAATATAAACCATCCCAACATTTTTATATTTTTCATGTCAAAAAAAAAACACAAAGGAAAAAAGAAAGAAAAAATACTATGTTACTTGAGGGGTTCATCCCTCTTAAACTAATCTTCATTTACATCCAAAATCTTTCTATTTCTTTAACCATATTCAAACAGATATTTGAATTTTTAAATATTCCCTCTGGTAAATCCCATCATCTAATTTCTTAATTCTCACTTTAGCCTTTTTTTTTTTTCCCCCCAAACATCTTTCGTGTATTCACTTCTTATTGGGGCAGATTGCATCCAGAATGACTTTACTTTAACCAAATCTTACATATTTCATTAGACTATAAATTTAATTTTTTTCTAAGCTGCCTTAGAAACCTGCTGAAGAACGAAGTATAAATAAATTATGCTAACTATTGTCAATTAAAACAGTCTTGATAATGTTGAGAATGGGAAAATTTATTTAAAACTATTTATAGATCTGAAATGCCTCAGTTGTTTTGGCAGAAGTATTAGAATTCAGAAACTGTAAATTAAAATATACACATTGCAATTTAATGTGGAGAAGTCCCATTTTTACAGTAATGTTTGTCAAGATTCTAAAGCTAATTGACTTATGAATTCTTCATTTATACTGTGTCCTAGAGTAGTCTTCTCCAATCTGAATGCCTCCAGATGTATTTGGATCACAAGTTTTTTGAGTTCTCATCTAACATAACCTGGATTGTGGTTCTAATACTATACGACATTGGAGAAGGCTGAGCTGAGTATTGTGGAAGAACCAGTTAAACTGAATCCAAAAGTGATCACCTGCTTGTTAAAATAGAAACCAAAGTCAATTTCCTATCATGAGGCTATCCAGACTATCGTGCAAATGGTTGTAGGAAATCATTACCAACTGAGTTACTTTTGAACATGATGGGGGTTTTCTTTACACTGTGACAGTTTTGACAGTAATAAAATTGACTTTATCAAAATATATATATTTGAACATACCTATTTTTGGCTTAGGGAAAAGTGATAGGCTTCCAAAGTCATCAGATTCTGACAGCCAAATCTTTTATTTTGCTTAATTTCTACAGTGATGTATATAGATTACGTGTGAGTAATTGGAGCATTTTGTGGTTCTCTGTCTCTCCTAGGAGTTCTATAGTGTAACATAGATGACTGTAATTATAGTGTATAGTTATTTATGGCTGATTATTGAATGTCTTGCTAGTGAGGGATTTGTGCTCTAACATATACTGCTATATTCTAGGTCTTTTACCTTTTCTGTTGTACCAAATATTAGCTCCTACTTAGAGATATATTTCCACAGCTTCTTCCCCTACACCTTTGCTTCTTGTATTGCATGAAATGTATACCAGTACATATTAAAATACTTTAATGCAATTGTAGAATTAGAAAAAGCAGTTAGGCCATCAAGTCCAAGGTTTTTTTTAGAGTAAAAATTCAGATTAACGTTTTGATAATAATAGCTTTTTGCTAGTCACAGATTCTTCATAATCAATGCTTTGGTCAGGTTGGATTTAGCATTGTAGCTATCTTTTGATAAGTTGTCATAAGAAGTAATTCAAAAACAAATATTTTTATGGTCACTTATCAAAAAATGTTCACACTGTTCCCTTAATGTTTTGATTCATAATTACATCACTCTTATTTCTTTATTTTCTTTGCCTAAGGGACAGCTTGGGGTTTCTTTCACAAAATTATGTACAAGAAAATAATATAATTATTTTATGAATAATTATAAAGTAATATTATCCTCCTTAGGTTTTGTAATATTTTATGATCCCTAAGCAAGGCATAAAATCAGTTTAACAACTCATCACTTTGAATCTTTCATGAACGGTGTTGTTGCATCTTCTTATCATGGTAAATTGGGGAGAACTTAAGCCTCAGATCTGTTTCTGAACTTCTGATAGCACAGATTTTAGCAGAGCCTCTGAACAGGATTGCTTGATTTGTTATTTGCAGGATGTTTTAACAGTGATGTATTTACGGTAGTTCCTGCCATGTAAAACAGATTTTGTTGTTACACTAACTATCAACTATTTTTTAATTAATGAATAATGAAATGTATCAAACATTGATTTTATAAATCAGAATGTCTTGTGGCTTAGTAATATAAGCATATGAAAACAAACAAGGGCTGTCTTAATGAAAGAAGAAAATAAAATGCTAATGTATTTGTATTTATCCTGTTTGTTAGAAATGGTTCACTATATTCTGGTGCTGTAGCTCTGTAGTGCCCCCTGGTGGCTGTTATTTTATATTTTGATGGCTGTGCTTGATTAGTTATGCTCTGCTCAGACAATTGACATTTCATTATTCTGTTGCCTTCATTGTTTTGAAATGGCTTTTGTTTATTTGTCTGTCTTAGGCCAAAGAACTGCCAACATTTAAAGACAATGACTTCATTAATGATGGTCAAAAAATTTACATTAATGAAGCCAACAAAAAGATGTTCCTTGAAAAGCTTAAAAAGGATGTTGAGGTAAGATTCTAGACAAAGGCACTATCCTTGCCAGAAACACTTATACAATTCTACCATCTAACTGATATGGCTGATAACTGAAATATTTCAATATGTTCCTGTTCCAAATATGTGCATTCCTTGAAAATTGCTTTGGACCTGCTCTACACACCGCATCTCTCTCTGGTGTTCATTAAAAGCAGCCACAACATTGTAGCTTAATGAAAACTAGAAAAAGGCAGCCTGCTTTCATGAATATTAAAAATTATGCAATAAGCCAGGGAAGACAGAATTGATACCAAAAAGTAGGCACATCTCTCATGTCCGTGACTGACAGAAGGACCTTTGCTGTCTGCACTGTCTAGGATTTAGCATGTTGGTTTAAAACAAGCTGGTAAAAAACAAAGGCTTCAGATATCAAACTGAGATTGATCATTTTGATTTAAATGCTGATTTGTTCCCTGAAATAGAAAATTATACTTCCCTTATGAAAAGGTGTAACATTCTAAGACATTATCACTATGAAATAATAATTCTGCCTCTTCTGTTCTTAAATATCTGAATATTCCTGGTATTTTACATTGAGTTGTTAATTTGAACTATGAAGATTTGACGATGTTCCTGTGAAATATGGATCAAATTGCCTTTTTTATTGTTTAAATCTAGTGTATAAACTTGTTTTGCTGAAAATTAAATAGATCAGTAATTTTGCTCCCGCAAAATGGTCAGCCTTATAATTAGTCTTTTGGTGATTAGTGCAGCATTCAAGCATACAAGAGCCATGGTGACACAGGGGTTAGAATACAGTATTGCAGGCGAACTCACTGCTCACTCCAGGAGTTCGATCCTGACCGGCTCAGGGTTGACTCAGCCTTCCATCCTTCTGAGGTCGGTAAAATGAGGAGCCAGATTGTTGGGGGCAATATGCTGAGTATGTAAACCATTTAGAGAGGACTGTAAAGCACTGGGAAGCGGTATATAAGTCTGCTATTGCTATTTCTTTAAATCTCTATAGAAATATTATATTTGTATGTAAGCAATTACTGTAAGATAGTTTAGATTCTCAACATTGATAAAGAAAGGTTATAAATGCATCATATAATTTATTCTATATTCATAGTGTTTTTTAAAAATTGTTCTGTTGAGAATTAAATAGATCAGTAATTTTGCTCCCGCAATTGCTGTCCCATCAATTGATTTCAGTTTAAATGCATTTGATTTTTCACTCTGACTATATATTTTATTTTTTAGTGATTTTCCTCAGTCTGGTATGGTCCTGATATGTTAGACTTCAGTTCCTATAATGCCTTGCCAATTTGTGATGAAAGCTGGGGACTGCAGTCTGAGCAATAAATCTCAAAATCATAGTGTTGCTTCTTTTTATGGAAGGAGGCATTCTTTTTATGGGAGGAGATACATTTTCTGGAGCTGTCTGATTATTCATTTAGTTTTCTGTTTGCATTCTGTTGTTCTCTAACTAATCAATATGCTTTCATTTCCTTAATATATAGATAGCTTGTAAATCAACATTCCTCCTAGAAAGCTGGGGAGGAGGTAAATATAATACTGTTCCAGTCTTTCTTTCAGGATTGACTTTCAGGGCCCAAGTAAGGCTGATATTTTTCATGTGAACTTTCTCTGGCTGGTACTTTTAACAGGTAGCTGATATGGAGGGGAAGGAATCAAATTAGATCAGGGCTGTAGTAAATAATTGTCTTTGTCACATTTCCAATTTAATTGTTCACTTGCATCTGCTACCAACATGAACTGAAACATGGGGCCTTGGTATATAGGCAGTTCTCGACAGGTCATTTAACGAATGTTCAGTTACAACAGACCCCTAAATTACATACATCTCTCTTTCAAAGTTACAAAAGTTGCAGCACTCCTGTGTTCATTCACTATTAAAACTGATCACAGGGATACTGCAGTGCTCCCTGCCTCTGTCCCCCATCCCACCCCACCATAACTCCACAGTGCTTGGGCCTGTTTCTCACATGTCCATCACACTTACCTTTTGGAGCTCCCCGGACCTCATATTGGGGAAAGAAAGCAGGCCACATGTCCTTGGGCTGCGCAGAGGTGATCTGAAGGGCAGGACAAAATGGCAGCCCCCAGACAAACTGCTTCATTTTGCTGCCTTAACAGGATCTGTACAGTGCTGCAGAAGCTTCTGCAGCACTGTAAATCTCATTAAGGCAACAACAATGAAGTAGTTTGTCCCCAGGCTGCGTGGTAATGACCCAAACATGGTTGCCATTTTGTAGCTAGGACAAAATGGTGCCCATTTCCAGAACTCTACCACGTGGTCACACAAAGAAGCAAACCATTCCAGTGTTCTGGAAGGCCTCAGAGCTCTTCAAAAGGTAAGTGGGAATCAGGCCTAAAGCTCACCTGACCAAGTATGAGTGGGAAAAAACCTGTGGAGATCCAAGGGTTGGGTAGTAGAGTACAGGGCATGTGGGCTTCTGTCTGTGCTAGGCTTCCAAGGGCCTCTCCCACCCTTGAGGCACCCAGTTCTTTATTTAATGACCCAGGCATTCATTTAATTTTTCATTGGGGAAAGCGGGGATGCGGAGTCATTAGATGAGATATTTCACCTAACGATCATTGCGACATAGGACTGTAATGGGGAGATCCATTATGAATATATCTTGAGGACTACCTGCAGTGGAGACTTCAGCATTGCCAAATATGGATTGTGGAAACAGAAATCCTACAGGTTTGGGCGAACATCATATCCAGCTGCTTTAATTTTACCTGTTACATTCTTGAAATATTTTTTGCATCTTTCATTAAACCCCACTTTTTTGATTTTCACTTGAACAAATCTCTGCTAGTAGAAACCAACATTTGGTGTAGTAAAGGTATAGTTTTCTGATTGATAATGGATTCCTTTTTTTTCTTGTTATTGCTGCGTAGTTCCTTGCTCAATTAAAACTCATGGATTACAGCTTGCTGGTTGGAATTCATGATGTTGAACGAGCTGAGCAAGAGGAAATAGAATGTGAAGAGAATGATGACGAGGAAGGAGAAAGTGATGGGACTCATCCAGTTGGAACACCTCCAGATAGCCCAGGAAATACACTGAACAGTTTGCAGCCTTTAGCCCCAGGAGAATTTGATCCAACCATTGATGTTTATGGTATAAAATGCCATGAAAGTAAGTGGCTTTGCTATAAATACTTAGACATGAAGGCCACTAGTATTCGTGTGCAAACGCTGAGCTTTAAAAAATGGATCAAAAATATGCTTTATGAAGTTTCTCATTCATCCTAGTAATTAACACAACTTGGTTGAAACTAAGTAATCTATGATGTGTTAACAGTATACAAAAGTATGGGTAGTCTCAAGTATGGAGTACAGCAATTTGACTTTATATTTATATATTTCAAGTACACATACCTATTATAGTACATCTCCAAGTGGGTATAGAATTAATAATACATTAGAGTACAATAAAATGTATAATAAATAATAATAACTTTATAGACAGAAAATAAAGCAGTTAAAATGCTCTGGGACTTTAGAATTCAAACAAACAGACACCTGCCACATAATACCCAGACTTAACAATTGTCAGTAAGAAAGACAAAAAAAGTCTGGATAGTGAATGGGGCAGTACCTGGATGAAGCAGAAGAGAAAACTGAAGGAAATCACAAAATGCAAAGATCTACAAATAGAGGTAGAATCACTAGGGCAAAAGAAAGCAAAGATAGTATCAAAAGTAATAAGCACCTTATGTGCAATTTCAAAAGATCTAGAGCATGGGTCCCCAACCCCGGGGCTATAGACTGGTAGCAGTCCATGACCAGTTAGGAACTGGGCCATACAGCTGGAGGTGAGCGGTGGACAAGTGAGTGAAATGAAAATCATCCCCACTGGTTTGTGGAAAAATTGTCTTCCACAAAACTGGTTCCTGTGCCAAAAAAGTTGGGGATCACTGATCTAGAGCACCACTTGAATACCATCAGCATTGACAAATTCACCATCAGTCAATTACAAAAGGCAGCTTTATACAGAACAGCTTACTTTCTGTGACAATACCTCTAATATCATCAAATATCCACATCTGCCTGTCCAAGAGTAGGACTCTAGATGGACAAAAATGCTAAATTCAGTCTGAACATCTGGCTGACCGGACAAGCCATAATAAAAGAATAAAATAAAAATATAAAACACAATAAAAAAAGAAAAATAAAATACAAGGACATAAAATATATAATTCATGACTATAATAATGTGATTTAGTTATTCCATCATAAACCTTCATATTTGAAGGCAAATAAAATTATTTTCTGTAGGAAGTGAAAAGGTCAAGAAATGCTTAGTTAATATCCCAGAAGAAGTACTTCTATTTTACTTAGAAAAATTATTTACTGAACAATACTGTTTTTGATATTGTCCAATAAACCACACCTATTAATGTGGATGGATAGTAGTAATAATAAAAAGCAAGTAATTGCTTTGGCATATATTTCCCAAAATTTTCAGTCTTTTCAGCAGAAAAGAAGCTCGGTTCCATATTCCAGATCAACACAAACCTATTTCTATTATTATTTACAATATTTTTTTCTATTTTCTTTTCTTTAGAAAACAAAAATAGAAAAAAATGCTCTAAACTATGATAATGGAAATGGGTTTGTGTTGCTCTCCTGATCCGTGTTCATATAGAATTTCAAAATTGGCAGTAGATTTAACCTAAGTGCTGAAAGCACCGGAAAATAGATGTAAACATTATCATTTGAAGTTGTATATTAAAGCAAAATCAATAGCGTCTTTCTATTTTTTGTTAAATCTTTGCTCCGTTGTCAATGTATTTGTGAAAATCATATAAGTGTATTCAGAAGCAATCTATTTAATTTTCATGAAGCTTTCTTCCAATTATGATTGCAGATTAATTGTAGAATTTAAAAGGGTTCTACAAATTGAGTCAGAAGTATGATACATCATATCTATTCCCAATCTTCACATTCTGTAGTCTCTGATACTGTTTAAACATTTAATTGTGTGCTTCTTGCTCCAACTTCTTTCAGTCCCAATCTTTTTCTTTAGCAGAGGGTCAGACTTGAAGCCCTCATAAATGTGATAACATTTAATAAAATAAAGGATTTCAAACCATGTTTTTAAAGGAAGTTGACTAACAAAAGAACTGTTTTTGGAGAAAAATGAGGGTTTTTTTATTTTGGCTCCATAGTGTTTAGCATTTAAAATATTGAAACCATTATATATGCATTAACTTATTGCTCTTTAGGAGCCAGTTGGAGTAATAGATAAGGCACCAGATTAGAAACCAGGAGACTGAGTTTTAGTCCTACCTTAGGCACAAAGCCAGGATAACCCAATGCCAACCACTCTTTGTCAGCCCTAGAAAGCAAGCAAGGGCAAGTCACTTCCAAAATCTTGCCAAGAAAACATCAGGGGATTTTTTTTCTTGGAGAAGAATACTGACTCAAATCAAAACATAAATACATATTGCTCTTTATGTCAGCTCTATAAGATGTAGTATATATGATATTAGTAATTCATTCAGTTATATATTCAAAATGCATGCTAGATCCACAAAATTGGAGGCAGAGAGGATTATTGAAGTCATCTAGAATAACATCCACTCAATGTATGAATCCACTATTGCAGCATCTGTAAAGATGGCCTTCCAGCTTCTGTTTAAGCATCTCCAGCCAAGGGATATTCCCTACATCCTGAATAGCCTTTTCCATGTTGAACATCTCTTCACATTAGGAAATTTCCCCAGATGTCCAGCTAACATTAAAATCCACTGTTTCTTTTCCTGTCTTTTGGAAAAGCTCTAAACAATTCTTCCATCTTTTACATGACAGCACTTCAGATAGGTGGAGACAGCTGTCCTATATCCTTCAGTCTTTTCTTCAGACTAAAAATACCTAACCCCCCCCCCCCAAATGTTTCTCACATTTTTCTTTCTGGTTTCCTTCCTCCCTTATCTTGATATACTTTGGTATACTTTGCAGCCAGGAGTATCTTATTTGATTTTAAACTTTTAGGAACTCATATCTTAACTGTCTTCTATCAAACCAGTGCAAATATACATTTATTGGTGGAATGTACACAGATTTTCTTGCAATTTAAGGTTAAGTTTAATCTTATAACCCATCTAGAATCGCATATGTGAGATGTGTGGCTATATAAATCAAATAAATAGAATAAAAAGTGTCAAATCCTACCTGCCTTTTACAGCCATTTTAAATGGCTAAAATCCAGCTGATTTTAGGAGATTTAATAAAATGTATCATATTTGAACTCATCCCCCAACCCAATAATATATCAGCACAATATTCTCTATTGTCAAACGTGAGGTACTTTTGTTCAGACTAATTATGTGGGTTGAAATTCAATATGTCTGCTTCAGTTATCCCAATTTTTATTTGTTTATTTAACAATCTCCTTAGGTATGGTTTAATTTTATTTCCTCATCCCTCCCCACTCCCTTCCTCACAGATGCAGCTAGAAAAGAGGTATACTTCATGGCTATTATTGACATTCTTACTCATTATGACGCCAAAAAGAAAGCTGCCCATGCTGCAAAAACTGTGAAACACGGGGTGAGTAGGCCTCCGTTGCACTGTCCTGTCAAGGATTTTCAGGGGTTGAAATGTTAAACGGCTTTCATATAAAGATGCTTACGTACCCCTGGCTCTCTGTGTCTGAGGCCTGTCTAAAATGAGGAGAGATCAGATGTGAAAGATGTTACCACTTTGTCTCACAAAGCAATCATGAAAGTATGGCTCGGTTAACTTTTTAGAAATTTGTTATTGAGTGACAATAAACCATTTTCAAATTATATTCGTTTCTGAAGGGATTTTCTCTTTAATTAACGAGGCTTCTATAACTAGACTATTATAAATCATAAATAATTTCTGGAAATAGTCTGAAGATTTGTAAAGTAGAATCTTCCTTGCAGAATAGAGAATACAATTTTCATTGATTCAAGAATCACCCCAACTTTTGCAAACATGTTGAGGACTTCTCTCAAACTTGTCTCAAATGGTAGCCTAGGATCCATATGGAGAGTGGAGGTTTGGGTTTTATTAAAAGGTAAATGAGTAATTTAAGTCTCCACAAAATTTAGGATACTATTTTCATCCCATCCTCTTCAGGGCACCAGAATATATTTTTTGTATCCCAGTACCAAACTGAACTTTTAAAATTCTGTGGATATGTCTTATTATACGACAGTCAACACTTAATTCACATCAAAGAGCAATTAGGTTAGAATAAGACAAAATATTGGAATAGATGGCCCTTGAATGAATGTTTGCTTCCTTCAATTTCTCTGGTATTTTTTTTATCTGAGAAGAATATCTGAGAAGGTGCTACCTCAGTCTTCTCCTTTCATCTCCTCTCCTCTCTTTTTCCTTCCCTCCCCTCCTCCCCTCCCTCTCCCCTGGATGAGCAGCCTTCCTAAGGCTGCTATTCCTTATTATTTTTATTTTCAATGAATGTCTTAAGGTTAATGGAATTCATTGAAATAAAGAGTATGCTTGAAGTGCATGCTAGTTTTTTATTTTTTTAATAAAATAAAGACTCTGAAAAATAAAATTGGATAGATCTTGGAGCCTACTTAGACAACCTTTTCCTGTGCTAGGTTGTGAATTGGAATAGCTGAGCATAATTTAACACCACCAGATTGGAAAATACAGATGTAAAATGCCCTAAACTTTCTGCCACCTTAAATTTAATTTGTGTCTCATCATATCTTCTGGTTTTACAGGCTGGTGCAGAGATTTCAACAGTTAACCCTGAACAGTATTCAAAACGATTCTTGGACTTTATTGCCAACATCTTAACGTAACCTAAATGCTCTTTTGGACAGTGTGAGGTCTGAAGAAACAGCAAATTGCTACAAGTGTGTATGGGTCTTTAAGAAAGCTTCTTTTAAAAGAAACTCAAGTTCTCTCTTGCAGAAGGCAGCCCCCACCCCCCACCCCACCCATTTACATCTGCTGGCAAAGATGACTGACTGGGGTGAAATACATTTGCTTTTACAGCTGCCTGATTATGCCCAGCATAGTTCTAGCTATTTCTGACATGTATGTGTGTGAGAGAGATTGTATGTGTATATGAGTGTGCAAAAATGGATATAAACTAATAATAATTAAAATAGATCAGCTCCTACTCAATGTGCATTGCAACAACACCTCTCTGTGGATATTAGCTGAAATGGAATGAATGGAAAAAAGATATTGTGGGAAGGGAAGAAAAATCTATGTGCATGTTGAGACCTACAATATTGGAATCAAAGCTGTAAACTGTGGATCAGTTTAAAATTTGAACTGAAAGATGCAAGATAATATTGGTGGTAATTATGACTCTGATCTTATTGTGAATGTTACACTTAACAACCCTGCATGTTTGCACTCCTTAAGAATAACCCCCATTTGCTGGAAGCTTTTCCTCTTGGCAATTTTTTTAAAACTATATTACTAAGTAAGCCCATTGCAACAGGAAAGAGTCTTCCAGCAATGCAGAAGTTTGGCTCTTGTTTTATTAAATTCTGATGCCATAATCATTCTGTGTATTTGCCAAGGCAAAACTCATTTTGAGGATCAGGGTGGGAGAATTACAGACTGTTTAACTGTCTTGTAACATGAAGATTTTGCATTGTATATTTATCATATAGAAACTGAGTATACTATAAAAAAAAATCAAATATGCTTTTTAGAAAAATGAATTGTTAGGGGCAATAATGGCATTTTCCCCATATGAACAAAGATATAGAAAGGTTTGCTCATCTGTAAGAGATCAAAAGAAGACATTAAATGTGCTGTTTTTAAAATATTTTATTAAAATATTATTTTCTAAGCCCTATATTTTATTGTTTACATTAAAAGGAAAACAGGGATGCTCTTGAGTCTGTTTGAGAATCTGAAGTTTACATGTAAAGTTATTTTGCAGTACAGATAAAGTAATTTCTTGAATTGTAACATGCAGTAATGTATCAGAGGAGATATTTTATTCACCCTTGTGATAGAATCTTTTTTACATGAGTGACAGATTGTTTTGAAGTATTTTAAATGATATTTTAATTATATTAATTTAGCTTTGTGTTTCTCTAAATTATATTGTTTAAAAGATTACCTAAAACTCTGCTGTTCCCTACAATCTGCTGGTTTTTATTTTTGGAGGTTTTGAAAAGGACAGAATTAGAGATGCTTAAAATTATATTCTGTATGCAAAACAATGTGCCTTTTAAAATTCTTTGTTTAAGTAGACATTTATAGGCAGTTTTTAAAAAGAAATCACACCCTGCAATTTATAATTTTATTCCTGGAGCGCTGGATTGCCTTCTCCATTAATATAATGACAGTACAGCTACAAATTGAATACATGTAAAGTTAACTAGAAAATTCTAATAAAATAACAAATGGTCTTGCAATCTTATGTAGTCAAGAGCAATATCATCTCTGTTAATAAGTGTGAGTTATTTTTTTAAAAGGTCTTATTACCTTTTAAAATATATTTCTCAGTAGGTTTTCTCCTCCCCCCCCCCCCGCATAATAATACTTCAAAAATTGACAGTTTTTTTTAAAATAACTTATCCTATTCTTCCTCCTGATACCTCGTATTTGGCCCAAAAAAGAGTTGAGGACATTTCAAAGCAAGACACGTGTTTGTGTGTCCATGCAAAAGCAAATTACATATGCCTTCAAGACCATCCAATGGGAATTTATTAAATAAGGAGCTAATTAAAACTGGGAGGGAACCTAGTATTAATGCACATAATATACATGTTAAAAGTGTTGGATTATCTTGCTAGAATCTGTAAAGACAGTGGAAGAGATTCCTGGCTGATCCTCTGGAGATCACTGGGATCTGCCAGTGTAGACAACATTCAGCTGTTCCAGGATTCATGTTATATTGGGCATAAAGCAATTTTTTTTCCTTTAAAATACCAACAAAAATCCTGCTGTCTCATCTCGCTGCTTGGGATACTTCCCAAAAAGCCATATAAACCATCAGTGGTTGCATGAGGAAAGAGGCATAATTTACATTTGTTTCACATCAGCTATGTTGTTCCTTTCCTTTGGTATACTTATAAATGTCAACAACTGGTTGATTTTTGTTGCCCAATGCTGCTGCTGATTTCAATATTTTTAATATATGTCAGCTGTGGCACATCTGAATAGTATATGCATTTTCTTAGTAATTTTAGTTTCGTTTGGTGTTTCAGAATATAAGTCCTGCTTTAGGTTTTAATCATTCATGCACATGATGCTCAAAATTGTGTCCTTCAGTTTTAGATAATATGGCAAAAGTTTTGGGTTAGAGTAAAATGAACAATGGTTAATAATTGATTCAAAACAAGGGATAGAGTGTATGCATATATTATTCCTAAATATCACACCTATTTTAGAAATTCCTTTGAACATATTGCTTGGGCTCCAATTTGTTTTTATAGCATTCATGCCTTTGAAATTTTTATTCTTTATAAATGGACTCTAAATTTCCACAGAGAAGATATTGTTGCTGTTTTATAGACCAGCTATGTCCCAGTTGATACATGGTCACTAAATGAAGTGGTACCTCTTTTCTTACCTGAATTTCTACTTGTTAATTGGATATGTAATGTAATTGAGTGGACAATCACCATAAATGCTACTACTATGGGTGACTCTTCAGGATTATTAATAAATTAACTAATTTTTATTGTATTACAGATTGTATTTCCTCACATATGTTATTCTATACAATTTTAGGCTCATCAGATAAGACTCCTTGACATTATGAGCTTATCTACTGTACCTTGTGCTTCAGTATAGATTAAAATTGATAGATGTAATTCTCTAGAATGACAAATGCCCTCACTACTAGTTCCTTTTTGTATTCCCTCTTAAATTAATATACGAAAATAAGATCTGCACATTTCCTTAAGGCCAATTTGCAAAACATGGAGCCAAAAGTATTGGATCATTTTATTTTATTGTATTTTTTGTCCAATTTTGCAGTTTAAAGGGTTCAATCTGCAAGGTACCCATTTCATCCTTTAAAAATTCTGAATGCCCAACTGTGTCCCAACTCCACACATATTAGGAGTCCAGCTCCTCACATGCCACTTTTAGTATGATGCAGCTCTTGGAGAATATGGGAGTTCTCATTTTCAAATGTTACCATCATTTTGTTTCTTATTTCTCTCCATAACAAACATTGTTATGGAGAGAAATGTCTCTCATTCTTCATTTTCCCCCCATTGATTATTTTTCTGATATATTTTTAAATAGGCAGGATAGGTTCTGTGAAAGCATCATTCCCCTAGAAAAAAGAATCTTCATTCTGTTTCATTTATTATACACTCAGCATTTCTCCAAGCCAATTTCCACCCGAATAGTTAATTATTATACTTATCCCCAGCTCTATAGTTGGATATCTATTTTTATCAATAAGATAAACAATGCCCTTCATAAGTAACAAAACTTTTAAAATACATATAACCTATAAATATGGTTATTACTCCTCTTTGAATGTCTGGCGTTTTGAATAGTTCCTACAAGCTGATAGCCACAGGTCACATTGTTTCTTGGGAGCATATAGTTTAGCTTTTGCCACAATCTCTTTCTCTTTTTTTTAACATTTGGGTATATTGATATAATATATTGCTTTGTCATTTTATACCCAGGGCATTTAACCCTTCTTTTTCTAATTTCTTCCAAGTTTCAGTTGTGTGTTTTACTCAGATTGCCATCTATAATGGAATTCTTATCTTTTGTGCTATTGTTATCACAAAGAAATATAGCTTTTTTTCCTTTTATACTGCTCAGTTTGGTTAACCTATTCCAGGAATCCTATTGCCCTTGATTGAGCTCTATTTTCCTAATGATTTCTGGCAGATGTTCAGGTATGATCGAACCAATTAATGGTTTAATACTATAAGTCAGTGATGGCGAACCTTTTAGAGACCGAGTGCCCAAAAACTGGCCCTGTCCCCGCTCCACCCCCTGCTCCGCCCCCACCCTGTCTGCCCCCAGGGCTACTCACCACCTTCAGGGCCCGCCGCAGATTGCCCAGGTAGGCCAGCAGCACCATTGAGGCCATGCCCTCTGCCTGCACCCTGCAGCATCAACTGTGCGCAATGGGGTGTAATGGCAGAGTCTTGTCTACGCTGCCTGGCTGCCATGTCCTTGGCTGCGCTGCTCTGTGTGTGGGCCACGCTCGGGGACGACTCTCCTCTAGGGGGGGCTGCTGGTGAGGGTCATGGGAGGAGGCAAGGCTGGGGCAACGGCACGTGTGCCCACAGAGAGGGCTCCAAGTGCCACCTCTGGCACACGTGCCATAGGTTCACCACCACTGCTATAGGTTGTCTGTCAGGTGAGTTCCAAAATTATTAATCCTTTGTTGTGCTAATTGAGTACTATTTCATTTAATTTTCAACCCAGTTTCTTGTTTAATGAAATCTCCATCCTCAAAACATCAAATGAAATGTCAGAGGACCTAGTCTGAAAATGTTTCAAATTAGGTCCTCTTGAATACCTCATGGCTGCAAATTGCAATAGCACTGCTTTGGAGATACTATTAACTAGACACTCCCAAAATAACTCTGTGCTAAGTGCCTATTACTAGTGACAGTTTTTCTACTCTCACCTGTATTCTTCTGTTCCAGCTTCTTTGTCTTAAACTTCATCTGTCATAACTGCAAGTCCCTATTTAATATTTCAAATATTTTTGCTGCAATTCCCAGTGTTTATTTCTTTTTGAATAAGTCTTGATGTTCTTTAAACAATAATTAGCTGTAGATAGAATGGACAATATGTCCTCCATAATTTGAAAATCCTTAGCAAAAGTACTTGGAAGAATGAAGATAGCACCATTCTGTATCTGCCATTTGATCCCAGGAAAATGCATGGCTGTTTTAAAGAGCTGCACACAGGTAATATG